AGAATATGTCTCGTAGTTTTACATCAATTTATTAAGTTAACATCTGAGAATCAGATAAATAAAGTATAAGGTTTCGACAGTCAAACCTTACTATTGATATGGTTATTTCTTGGCGATCCAGGATATTATTAAGGTTCATTCAGTATTTTGTTGTAGGCTGCTGGGTTTAGCTGTTTTTCTTGGAAATACATCTCTGTCTCTATCGTCCATCTTTCAATATTGTATTATATTGCTGTGCTTAGACATTCACACATTTAAGCATCTCTGTCTTTATAACAAATTTTTATTATGACCAGATACATTAAATTAAATAATGTGTAACTGCGGGTTTACAGAAAACTACACTTAGGAAATAACTCATATAGGATACATTTTCATAACTGCATTTTATAACTGCATTTTTATCTTAAAGGTCCCATGTCATGCTTTTCTGGTTATTACCATAGAGTGTTATTACCCGTCCCCTTGTGTGTTATGTAGCTTTTTATGCGTGTAAACGGTCTGCAAAGTCACAAACCCTCAAAATACACCCTGTAGCAAATACAACTCTTACACAGAAAAGACCTGTATCTGTGCTGCCGTGCTGCCCCAGAACGCCTTGTTGGTTGGAGATTTTTCTTTTTCCATTTTTTTCTTCCTGGTCATAGTGATGTAACACTGCGGAGCTACACACACACACACACACACACACACACACACACACACACACACACACATTCTTATCTATTCTCAGCCGTGGTGCTGCACAGAGCTCTGTACACACACACACACTCGGAGCTCGTCCCACCAACATGGCACCCAGACCCCACGCAGCATTCTCATCTGTTTGTCATTTTCTGGTTGCTAACAAACGCCATTGAAACACATGAACACTGATGTTCCGCTGTAACGGTCGTTGACTAATCAGAACAGGGGGGGGGGGACAGAGAGTGAATACACATACTATACAGAGATGCTGTATGAGAAACAAATGTGAGTTTGGAACATTGAACAATGTAAATCTATTCTAGTAGACCTCAACAATGTAATTATCATGAGTAGAAATGGCCATGTTATGGGACCTTTTAAGTATTTAAACAGTGATGTTTTCATGTTATAACCTTGTTGCCTGCATGATGAACTGGATGGTTACAGATGTGTTAATTCCTTTACATTGTATTAGAAATCTCAGACATGGACAGCCGCAGGAAGAAGTTGAAGTTCAAGTGGCTTCAGACTACCATCCCCTCACCCACACAGCTTCAGGATAGTGATGCTAGCCCAGGAACACCGTCTTGCTGGAATATGTCTCCGAATGAAGATTCATATAACCTCAGCAGCTCTCCAGGACCTGATGGCCTTGGGGCAATGAGTCTGAACACTCCCAAGAGAAAGGCCAAAGAGCTTGGTGAAAGCACGCCCTCTTTAGGCAAGCTTAAGCTGAGGAAGCTGTCCAGGAAAAATTATGAAGAAATCATAACCTCAGAGGTAAGTTTTGCTCAGACCATCTATTAATTGTATGTTGTTTAATCAAAGCTCAAGTTTTATATATGCTATTTCTTGTTAAGTAATTACTGTTTTTATTTTGTCTGTGTGCACCTTTTACTATCAGGAGAAACCCATAGAAAACTCTTCCAGGCAGCTAGGATCCTCGGAGAGCGACCAAGTATTGTTAACTTCACTTCACTCTTTCCTTGTGAAAAAAAGAGAGAGGACACCAGAGGAAGGATTGAAAGCTATCTACAGCAGGGCACTAATAGCAGCCATTGGCAGCTCAAATGAAAGGGGCAGCACTACAAATACCCCTGTGACCTCACCACTGGAGACCCAAGTGCTCAGTCCGGCATCACTTGACAGGAACCCCACATATATAGATTGTTCCCCAATTAAACCGGTGTATGAATCTGAGGACAACGGCAGTATTCAGGAAGAATCATGGGAGCCCAACGTTCAGTCGTCTGAGGACTCTGAACCCCAAGGTGGTGGATCAGAGTTATTAACAGACACAAGAGTAAGTTAACTCACACATATACGGCTACACCACTTTCTTTTTGTAGAAATGAAAGCATTTTTTTTAATTGACTTTGTTGTTTTTCATGTGCCAGGGAAACAAAGACATATTTGTTTTATAAAAGATGATTCAAATCAAAAGCCATTTAACTATCAAAGAAAAATAGTCTAATGCCAAGTTTGAATCAGTGCAACCCTTCCCTTAAATCTCTTTCTTGCATTTTTACTTTGAAATGTTTTTTTTGTCATATTTTCAGACTGTGGTGCTAAAAGATGAAGATTTACAGAAGAGGTTTGTCGATCCGGACCATGTGTTGGTAGAAACAACCTCTCAGGACAAGTTATTTGCTGCAGAAAATGGATCGGAAGACAAATGCTGTGACGCTCCCCTTGATGTTGAGGAGTATAGCCCAGATTCTAGGTGTTATTTCTCACCTCATCAGTTTGCTTCTCCTGATAGCCATCAATGGGAAAGCCCTCCATTGAATACCCAGGGAGCTACAACTTCCTCTTTCACGTTTTCATCCCCCAATGAAACGTCTTGGGCCGCTGTGGAGAGGCCTTTCTCACCATCACAGAGGACAGTTGTTGTCCCCTTTATGGCCAACCAAACAAACACAGTCCCTTCAAAGGCATCCAAAGTTCGGACTGAGAGTTTCTGCTCTTCCTACGCTGTGTCCCATGTATCGGATCCGTATGCTCTGCCACTCCACTCCAGAAGAGGACAGTGGAACTCCACAGCCACACACAGGAAGTCAGATTCAAGCTTCTTCATGCGTCACACCTCGACACATTGTGACCGTCCTAAAAGAAGACGATCCATGGAAGCTGCACCTTTTGGGACCAACTACCCGGGCAGTCAGGTTGGGTTCATAGACACACACTGTCACATAGACATGCTCTATGGAAAGCTTGGTTTCCGCGGGACGTTCAGCAGCTTTCGAAGGCACTACCAAAGCAGCTTTCCTCCTGAGTATAGAGGCTGTATCACCAACTTCTGCAACCCAAGGGCCACGGCGAAGGAGGCCCTGTGGGAAGGTCTGCTGGCTGAAGACATGGTATGGGGGGCCTTTGGGTGCCACCCCCACTTTGCCAAATTCTACTCAAGTGTCCATGAACGCAGTATGCTGATGGCCATGCGGCATCCAAAAGTTGTGGCGTTTGGTGAGATTGGCCTGGACTACTCCCACAAAAACTCTACTGAAACCTCCAAACAGAAAGAGGTACAGTCTTTGACACTGTGAAGTTGTCAAAAATATATGTTGTGATTCATTTGTAAAATAATATTGTGTGTTGCTTCTCTGGGAAGGTGTTTGAGCGCCAGCTGCATTTGGCTGTGGCCATGCAGAAGCCTCTGGTGATCCACTGCAGGGACGCTGATGACGACCTGCTGGAAATCATGAAGAAGTGCGTCCCCAGGGAGCACAAGATACACCGGTATGTGTGGAGGAAAATAATCTGACTAACTTTCCTGTTCAAGTCAATTTAAGAAAATGTAAGTGTTCTTTTTATAGTTAGACCAGTGGTTCTCAAACTTTTTCTGTCAGGCCCCCCCTTTGGAGAAAAAAAAAAGTCGGGCCCCCCCAACACAAATAGTCAGGCTCAGTGGCGGCGCCAGAGATTCTATTTTGGGGGTGCTGTGGGGTAGCTTGACGTTTCATAGAGGGTGCTCAAACATTTAGGGTTTCCCATTAATGTACTGGTCGCTACAGTGGAATGTTCTACTGCAACAATCCCCACACACACACACACAGTGTACCCGCGACTGTTACAATGAAGGCTCGATAATCAGCTCACGGCATATAGGTGTAAGCAGGGGTAAAGTGTTATTTTTATAGGTGGTGTGTGGACCTCACATAGGGGGGTCAGGGGGCAAGCTCCCCTGGGAAGATTTTTAAATATTGAAGTTAAAAGCATCAATCTGGTGCACTTTGAGAGCAACATGAAGAGATCTATGGATACATCTCTCAACACCCATTTGAAACAGAACTGTAAACAGAT